AAGTGCCTTACTAGTAGTAACAAGAAGCTAGTAGAAACAATAAGCTACTAGCTACTTGCTCCTAGTAACAAGTGCATCGCTAGTAGTAACAAGTGCCTTACTAGTAACAAGAAGCTAGTAGAAACAATAAGCTAATAGCTACCTGCTCCTAGTAACAAGTGCATCGCTAGTAGTAACAAGTGCCTTTCTAGTAGTAACAAGAAGCTAGTAGAAACAATAAGCTAGTAGCTATTTGCTCCTAGTAACAAATGCATCGCTAGTAGTGACAAGTGCCTTACTAGTAGTAACAAGAAGCTAGTAGAAACAATAAGCTAATAGCTACTTGCTCGTAGTAACAGGTGCCTTACTAGTAGTAACAAGTGCCTTGCTAAGTAGTAACAAGAAGCTAGTAGAAACAATAAGCTAATAGCTACTTGCTCCTAGTAACAAGTGCATCGCTAGTAGTAACAAGTGCCTTACTAGTAGTAAGAAGAAGCTAGTAGAAACAATAAGCTACTAGCTACTTGCTCCTAGTAACAAGTGCATCGCTAGTAGTAACAAGTGCCTTACTAGTAGTAACAAGAAGCTAGTAGAAACAATTAGCTACTAGCTACGTGCTCCTAGTAACAAGTGCATCGCTAGTAGTAACAAGTGCCTTACTAGTAGTAGCAAGAAGCTAGTAGAAACAATCAGCTACTAGCTACTTGCTCCTAGTACGGCCAGGAGCCCCAAACGTAGCGTGCTTGCTCCTAGTAGCGATGCCAGGAGCCCCTAGTAGCTTCTTGTTACTGGGCAGAATTCCGACGTCTCTTCTCTTTTTGACCAAGGGTCTTTGCACTTCTTTGTGCCGAAAGAGCTCAGGTTTGCCGCAGGCGTCACTCGTGTCGCCCGGCCCAGTGCATCCACCGCTTCGACCGCGTCCACGGGAAGTGCGGGAAGTGCGGGAAGTGCGAATGCGCACGGCCCAGCCACGTCCACCTCGGCGCTGGCCGGTGTGGCCGCTAAGTTGAAGGAAGTGGAGGGGGATGTGTTGGGAAGTGTGTTGGACATCAGCATTTACCCTAACAGTCGACCCTAAACACGGTGTGGTCTGACCCGAGTTGAACTTCCTATCAGTGGGGCAGAGGTGAACTGGACGTGTAGGGACCATGTAGGCTGTTGAGCAAAACGCCCCAGGCCTGGAAAACATCTGAAGATGGGGTGGTTACAATGTATCAACAGTCTACATTTTAGGGTTTGTGACTTCTGCAGCGCGTTACATTGAATCCCTGAACTGGTAATCCTAGTTAGGCAATCGAGCGCTTGTGGTGGCAGGACAGATAGGTCTTGGCAATGACGGTGTCGCGTAGGCCATTTCAGCGGCCTCGTTCACATGGAGACGTCCACGGGTCATGCGGCGAGCGGAAGAGCAGAAAGGAGTGGTGCAGCAGTTGCTGGGCATGAAAGGTGCTGGCGAAACTGATGATACGCCTTTATGGAAGAGCCTTGGAACTGAGGTTGGAGACCATCGCTAGTATATATATAATTAGGTTGTCTCACATGGGTTTCTTTTTCTTCTATTTGTTTAACTTTGGAACTGAGAAATCCCTCACTCTCAGTCTCGCCATGTCTCACCACTTAGTGTGAGCATTCGATTTGAACCTAAGGATTCGATTGCAGCTTTGCAAGCCAGTGACATGGCCTCCCCTGATTTTTGGTGTCATTGCAGGGGTTTGCGCCAGTGGCAACTTTGATTGGGGACAGGCCAGCCGCGGCCAGTCACAGAAAGCTATTAGAAACAAGTGTATCGCTAGTAGTAACAGGTGCCTTACTAGTAGTAACAAGAAGCTATTAGGAACAAGTGCATCGCTAGTAGTAATCTTTTCCTGGTCGTCGCCCTTTGCATGCCCGCCCGAAATGCTCCGTTCGTAGCGTCGGACTAACGCACCAAAAACGGGTAGGTGACCTCACCAAATGGACCTCCCAGGCGTCTCCGGAAGACTATGCGAAGTTTTTCACCTGCGTGATGCTCTCGGGACCGGTGCTGGTCGGCTACACGCAGACACTGAACGATTGGTACGACAAGGATCTGGATGCCATCAATGAGCCCTACCGGCCGATTCCCTCCGGCCGCATCACAGAGGACCTGTGTGCTTTTAAAGGTCTGTGCTGTTCTTCTTTGGGTGCAAGTTTCTTCAGAGTGAGCCTTTTGGGGCCGTCAGATTGCATGGGCAGCCAGATTCTGAGAACTGCTTTTGGCTCTTTTAGAGGAAGAAGTCTGGCAGCAGATCTATGTCCTTGGCGGCTTAGGCCTCGGCATGGCTTTGGCACTGGACCGGGCCTTATCATTGAAGCTTCAGTAAATTCACAGCTAGTGGCAATGCAGCAAACGCAACATTCAAGAGCTTGCTAAGACCTGCAGGACATTTGGCAGGGCCACTGGCCACCCACAGTCTTTGCAGTTGCAGTCGTGGGTGTCTTCATGGCCTACATTTACTCTGCGCCACCGTCCCTTGGCCTTTTGACATTTGCACACGTACTTGGCTTCTTTGAGAGGGTGCCAAGTGTGCATTGGCGGGGGGGGGCACGCCTTCCCCATTGTGGGACCGAAAGCATCGCGAGGCTCAAGCTCAAGCAGAATTGGATCACTGGTTGCTATGCTTTGGGCTCCAGCTATATCGCTTTGCCGTGGTTGGCTGGTCAGTGCACCTTTGGCCAGGTGGGTCCACCGGCCTGGGGGGGGTGCGGGAAGGAGCCCCTAGTAGCGTCCTTGCTCACTTGTGTTATACATTACCTGTAACTGCAACCATCATTGTCCACTGGGCCTGGGTATTTGGGATATATCCAATCCTTTGCCAGGTCACTCCAGAGATCATTGCACTAACACTGTGGTACTCCGTGGCCGCTGTGGGCATTGCGATTGTCAACGACTTCAAAAGTGTTGAAGGAGATGACCTCATTCGCAAACTGCACTCAACTGGCCTGCCATGAGATGCTGCTGAAAATGGATGATCCAAAGCAGAATATATTTGCTTCGATGACGTGTCTGATACCTAGTAACAGACTCCGCCAGTTGGTTCCTGCATCTTGGGATTTCTTGTTTGCAGGTGATGGACATGCCACGTTTCGTCTTGAAGCTGTTCACGTTTTCGCCGTCAACTCCTCGCAGGAGATCGAAAGCTGGGCTTGTCATCAGCGCCTGTGGTCTTCGGGATTGACACCGCCAAGTACATGGCACCCGTGATCAAAGACACGGTGCAGTTAACCATAGTGGCATATTTGCTTTACATCGGAGAGTGGCCCTATGCACTTGGGCTATTTTGTTTGATCCTTCCACAGGTCTATTTCGCGAAGACATTGTTCATCGAGGATCCGATCCAGAATGATGTAAAGTATCAGGGTTCCTCCTTACCGTTCTTCAGCATCGGAACCATTGTGGCCGCATCGGCCATTGGCAACAACCCTTTACACTGAGACGAGGAAAACGACTTCGCCGGCCACGGCACGTGTGCATGTGCCGTGACTGCGCCGGTGGGATGTTCCCTCAGGATCTCGACAAAAAGACACGAGTTTCGTTGGGAATTTCCGGGGGCTTGTTGTCATGTCGCGTATTGGGATGGCCTGTGAACGCTGTTACGCCCTGCGCCACCCACTCCCCCTGTTGCCATGCTACTATCGCCTTGTTTCCAGATCTTGGAAGTTCAGTGTCCCTAAAAATCTAGCAACCAAATGATCAGGGCAGGGGGGCCTCCTTGAAGAAGCGTGTATCCTGCGTCCAGAGACTAGCGTCCAAGCTATATAAGTAGGCTCCTACTGAATTAAGTAAGGATATTGTTTGATATTAGATTGAAGGCCATCGCTATGAGAAACCAAGAAAAGAGAAAAGGAAGAACGGGTTTGCTATATTGTTTGCTTCTAGGAGCAAGGACGCTACTAGGGGCTCCTGGCCTTACTACTAGGAGCAAGAAGCTACTAGGGGCTCCTGGCATCGCTACTAGGAGCAAGGACACTACTAGTTTGCTTATTGTTGCTGGTTTGGAAACGTCCGTGGAGCTTCCACTTCACGATCAACGGGTCTTTTCGAGCGTGAAGTGCGAAGACGGCGCAGTGAATGGGCGGGTCGTCGTCATGTTGGGTTCTTGTGGAAAAAAGGAAAAATATATTTCAAAAAAAGAAACGGCACCACAATCAAACCATATCAACCCCTAGAATTTGCTACATATCTCCAGGCCTGGTGGCTTTTCTTTGGGTTTCATTCACAGTTTGCAAGATGAGAAGAACTGCGTCCCTTGCACGTCGCCCTTGCGACTGCTGAAGATGAGGTCGCGACTGGCCGCGGCTTGCCCACAGAGCGCAGACCCTTTCTTGGTGTGATTGGTGAATCAGGCACGGAAACATTTGACAGGGCAACTGGTTCTTGCAGGCAGGTTCAATCATGTATCTAAATTTCGATGGTTCATGCCACACTTTGGGAACCATGTTGCAGTTGACTTGGATACATGCCTGTCATGATAGTGGACTTGTGGACATGGCTTCGTAGCTAGATGGCCCATGTTGCCGGGTGATCCTGCGTGGTGCTTCACGGCGAAATCTAGCGTCTCCACAGGTGAGTTGATCCCTGGCGGCTTGTACTTGGACTATGCTCGGCTGACGCCGGGGCACGAAGAATTGAAACACACAAAAGGGCTTGGTGTGCGTGACCTCCAAAAAGCTCCGTTCGTAGCATCCTTGCTCCTATTAGTAAGGCCAGGAGCCCCGAACGTAGCTTCTTGTTCCTAACTAAAATGGAAAAAAGGAGTTGCCAAAGCCAACATTGTGCTGAGGTATTACGATGGCGCCAGCCTTTTGTTTCTCATGATCCTGGTGCTGGTAGCTGGTGGAAGCTTGGGTCAGACTTGGTGTTGCTCTAGTGTCATGTGGCATGTGACAAAATATGGATGCATTTTCTCGCTAGCTGGGGCGACATGTACGTTCAAGCCTAGTTTTTGTTGCTTGACATGTGGTTTTAAGCGGCAGGCCTTGCCTGTGAGCTTCCTGTATGTTCAGAGTCCGTGTATCTTCCATGTAATTGACTTTGACCAATCATGAGGCTAGTAACAAGAAGCTACGTTCAGGGCTCCTGGCCATACTAGGAGATCGGGCGCTACGTTTGGGGCTCGTTGCCGCAAAGGAACGGAAAACACCGGGCCCCAGCTGGTTGGAATCCTGGTGTCTTTGTGCTTGGCGGTTGCCTCGGATTTGGTGTATCGTTGCCACTACGCACAGACACCATGAAGCCATGGACTGGAAGCGACGGACATGCCATGGATACAACTCTGATGGTTCATACGTTAAAACTTTATGTATTTATGTATGTCATGTCTTTATATCATGTGTGCCTTTTCTGTCATTTCTTATCCTTTCTTATTTGTTCTTTCTTTCCTGCGCATATACGCTTGGAGGCAAGCCCATATGCCTAGATTGACTTCTTCGCTGAGGTGACCGTGTCCTGGCTCCTAGCACCTTTCATCTTCAATCCATACCAGTTTCGGCCGTCTTGCTGGATCAATGACATCAAGGCAGATCAGAAGAAAACTTGCATCAGAGCACACCAGAACCACAGAAACTACGTTGGAGGCTTGGATGAGGTTCTTCCTCGAAGATGGCGGCATGCACTGGAAAAAGCACAGGCCTTAAAAGCCTTAAATCTTAATGTGATATGCCGCCAGTATGGTTGTTCTATTGTTTTTCGATGCCAGTCGAACGATCAAGGTGGTTCACCCTGAACCAGCTGAAGCCACGCCGCGGCTTCCGTGCAACGGTGCTGCAGATCGGCTTCATTATGGAGCTTTGGTTTGTCATTGCCTCAGCATTTGTGGTTCACCGTGGTTCATCTAGAAATCCCATGCTTTCACATTCATAAAAAAAAATCACAACAAATAACAAAGAAGACGATAATATCATCCATGGGTAGTTCAGTGTTTTGCTCGCCAGTGCGACGCTGGGCCCGTGGGCGTAGCTGGAATGTAAGTTACACCCACAGCAAAGCAGGTGTCAAACTTGGGAATTACGGTTCACTGGGGTCGTCGCTTCCAGTTCGATAAGAAGCTACTAGGAACAAGTGCCACGCTAGTAGTAACAGGTGCCTTACTAGTAGTAACAAGAAGCTACTAGGAACAAGTGCCACGCTAATCCTGTCAAGTTTTGTTTGCGCTCTCGTCGCTCTTGGGAGGTCGTGACATGCTTCGCCTCTTTGAATGCACGCACCGCGGTGGTGTGTCAGGTGCCTTTCCACACGTGTTCCTCGACAAACAGCGCTCGAGGTTCGTGACCGCTCCAGGTGTCGGAGATGTGGCGGCTCTACTACTGGAACTTGCTGTCGCCTCCGGTCGGGGCCAATCCATCTTGAGAAAAACGTCTGGGAAAAACTCAGAGATGAACACTGAAAAAGAGACCAAGAGAGAGTATGAAGAGACCAACCATGTCTTTGCAGATCTTTGCACCTGCGGTGTTTTGCATCTTACTTGCTTGTCAGAGGCCCAGTTCGCCCAAAGACTCCGAAACGTCCATTCGAGCGCACGTGAAAGGCACAATGTGACACGTGAGCGCACGTTAGAAACGAACCCGCAATGTGCCCCTCCTATGCATTCTTACCACGAAAGTGGTGCCTTTTTTCCCGCAAGTTGCTGAGGCTGCGGTGCTTTAACCTGCTCCAAGGGTCTAAGCACCTTGGCGTGGAGATCACCCATCCGGGCTCGCACTTCGGGATTTGGACCCCGTCGTTAGGTTCCAGACGTAGCACTCCGAAGCTGGATGACACCTACGCCGTGCGGGAGCCGAGTTTGGACGCTTGTGTTGCTTTCTCCGGAGTGCTGTCCCAAGGCTTTGGGGACTCCCAAAGATGAGGCCGAGCGAAAAAAGACACGGAGACGTGATACAACAACTCAATTATCACGAAAGCTAGCGAAGCTAGCTGGAGTTACTCTTGCGATAGCAAGGTTTCTTTCGACCGGGTGCAAATCCTAACCCCTGATTTTTCAGGTCGAAGACCCCCCCCCCCC